TTAACTATGATGTGTTGGTAACGTGAGCAAGATCATCATCTTATAAATTGCGTGATTCTTAAGCTGATCGATTTTGATAATATAATTTGACATGGGAAAAGGATTTAAGGAATTATGTGAGAATTAAAAAATAAAAAAAAATATATTTTCCATTAAATCATCTTTTTATATTATTGAAATGTTTATATGTTCTCAACAACTTCATCTTAAAATTCTTTGTGAATCATGAAATTTTTGTTAACTCGACTTGTAGCCATGAAAATTCTTAATGAGTATACAGGAAATGTTCAAGGTCATCGCTGTAGCTTTATTTTTCTCAACGATGAAATTTAAAAGCAAAATCGAGGTTCTTTCTGGATAAGGTGCTCGATTCAAAAAGAAATTGATATAAGATACCTCTTAATACAAAAATTTTACAGTTTTTTGAAGGATCAAATTGTTTAGTTATAGTATTGATGTAGCGCCTCGGCTTAAGTGATCTACCAATTTTCGTATCACGAGATCCAACCTAATATAAGGCTGTTCAGTTTCTGTACTGAAGTAGATTAAGTAAACTACGCATTATACCAATTTTTTCGTATCATGAGATCTAATTAATCTGAGGTAGCTTACGCCCGAGGCGCTACATTGATACCATATTGACACAAAACGTGAATAATGTTCAAGGATAATAGTTTAGTAAAGGTGATCAATAGAAGGATGTCACGCAATTTAAATCCTGTTGATGTAGCGCCTCGCCCGCAAGCGACCTCGGTTATATTAGTTAGACCTGACATCCTTGAAAAGTGTTTGGTTGTGTATTAATGAAGATTGAGGGATTCTTTACGATATTAATTAATATCATGAACTAATTAATGAAGACTGCATTACGATATTAAGTGTGCCAGAAATGATATAGACATCTAAAATGGAGTTTTCACCTTTCTCATGGGTTGAGTAATATAATTTGGGAATGCCTATTTTACCTTCTAGTACATAAAATTATCTGTAATAGAATTCAAAAAGAAATTGATATAAGACCGAATTAAGCCGAGGTCGCTTGCGGGCGAGGCGCTACATTAATACAAAAACTCTAAACCACTCAAAAACGAAACAGTTTTTTGGAGGATGTCAAATTGTTTATTAGATATATAATATATATCTCTTGTAGATAATCAGATTGAAAAGGTAGAGCTTAACTTATCGCCTTGTTTTATTCCTGGGAAGAGAAGGAACTGATATACTTACTGAATATCATAGCATATTATTGCAATAAGAAGAATAAAGCTGGGAAGGACAGCCAAACAAGATTGGCAAGTAGTACAATACACAAAAAAGGCGATACAAAGACTTGCAACTGTTGGAGTCACAGTGCGGATTCTAAAGTGGTAGAAGAACACAAGATCGTATATTCTTTCAAGTTTATGGACAACATCCTTTTAACTTATTTTCACTTTGTTAAGTATCCTCGAGATGTTTCTTATTGAATAGAACCATTTTGACACATACTCAAGAGCTTTCTCTATTTCCTGTTAGTTTAATACTGGAACAAGAAATAACACTACTAGAGAACTAGAAACATTCAGGTTTAGCAGCATGTCTTATAAGACGGCTAAACCTGAATGTTTCTAGTTCTAGGTCTGGTGTTAGTTCTAGTTTTACACTTAGCACTATCACTAGAACTAACACAAGACCTAGCACTAGAATCATTCGGGTTTAGCCGTCTTATGAGACGTGCGGTTAAACCCGAATGTTTCTAGTTCTAGGTCTTGTGTTAGTTCTAGATTCAATAGAAATATACAATCTAATCCAAAATCAATTATTCCCATTTTTTGAATTCTTTCAAATTTATGGACAACATTCCATTTGTTCAGTTTATTTTCTTCTTATCAAGAATTCTTGTGATTTCTTGTCGCTTGAAACAATTTTGACACACATCAACAACCATTTTCTACTTTTCGGAAACTTGATGATGAAATTGATGATTTGAAACACCATCAAAACCCAGTAAAATGCTCCTTTCAATTTAATTATCCTATTTATGTGTCACAGAGATATTTTAAATCATTTAGAACAATTTTGAGCCAAAATCATCAAAAAATCAATTTTTTCTTTTTTGAAAACCATTTTGAAACATACCAAAGAGTTTTTTCTATTGTATTAAAGAAAAGATATCGAAAAAAGTGGTAGAAGAACACAAAATCATATATTTGGACTTAAAGAAAGTTTCTGAAGTATAGATGGTTTTGATCTTCATAAAGGTTTTTAGGGCAAATTCCGTGATATTAATGGCTGGCAACTTTGTTGTGGTTATCATTTGATGCATCAAGCATAAAACAACAACTTCATCAGTTTCCACTAGATTCTTCAGCAGCAACAGGAGTGGCTTTATTGTTGGGTTGGGTTGGGCATATTGAAAGATCCACATACTAACATCTAAAATGAAGTTTTCACCTTTCCCATGGGTTGAGACTAATATAATCTGGAAGAAATTTTACCTCCTAGTACATAAAATTATCTGTAACAGATAATATACATATTTTTTGATACATTTCGGCTAAAAATAATCGTTAACATACTTTGATCTTTGTATTGTACTAAATGCTTTTTTATTCGAGTTTAGACCGTTACAAAACGTCACTTTTAGCAATTTTAATTGGACTGATAAAAGAGAAGCGGATCGCGTGGAGCCACCGTCGATGTCGTTAGTTGCCGCGTTCAAAAAGAGCGGATTCGGTAAATCGCGTCGGCCGTGCGTCCGTATGTGTTTTGTTAAATGGTGGGGGAGTCCCGGTTTATCGTGCGACCTATACGCGTCTCGCTCCGTGCCGTACTTCCATCTCTCTCGTTCACTCTCCCCCCACCAACCACTCTCAAGGCATAAAATGGCCGACCGCCCGGCGCTCTTGATTTCGGTTCGTCTGTGTTTACAAACTCGTTGAGATATCTTTACATACGGGGAATATCAAAAGTTATAGTACAAAAAAAAATTTTTTTTTAATTTTAATGTATAATTCGTATATATTTACATTCTCATTTAATAAATATAACTTTTCTTAATCCTTTTGGTTCTAATAAAGTACAAATTCGTTATTGCCTATTAAATTATTCATTAATCGTGGGGAAAATTCCGTTTAGGTAATTCAATTTCTTTTTTAACTTTAAATAAGAAGAATTTTAAATAAAAAAAGGCTACGATTTTATCCAGTAAATCGGCATTTATCGCCAAATTAAGCGAACATTTAATTAGCCCATCCGTTTTAACTGCCCGAAAATCCATCACGTTCTTAACAGATCCTTCGCTCGATCTCTTTCTCGTTGCCGACCACTTCTTGCCCATCCAAAGCGTTACCTTTTCCGTTCGATGCTCATAATGCGCACAACAAGGTTCGATAAACGTCCACAGAAACGAATTGACAGCTTACACATCCGAGGAATTCATTAAAACGCGATTGTTGGCGATTCTTGTTACCGTTAGGTCTTCGAAAGGAGCGAAAAGGATGGAGTCACAGTTGGTCTCGACTCGCGAGAATTTGCCATTCGAGGATCTGATTAGAATTTATCTTCTGGAATGGTTGAAATTTAGCGGGAAACGCTTTCAATGATGTAAAGTACTTGATGGTGGTAATGATCGCTGATTGCATCTCCATAGAAAGATAGCAAATGTGCTAAAGCGTGTTTTGTACCTACACACATCGTTAAGTCAATATGTGTTGACTTCCTAGGTCTTTAACTGACTTTTATAGCTAAAACTCTTCATCGTTGCTTTTGAGGCACGTAAAGAATTGATTTGATCATATTCGTTTAGAAAGTTACTTGAATATGTAGATTTTGACGACTGACTTAAATTAAATTTTAAATTCTTGTTATACTTTCTCTTAAATGTATAACGCCCCTTTTCTTCTTCTTCTTCTTCTTCTTGAGAAGTATAAGGAGACAATGTGTCTTACAAAGATCATTTTTTTTTGTCTTGTAAAGTGGTACGCGCGTAGGGATCTCGAGTAGCGGCATTTGGAGCGATAACGTCGCCGCGAGAGAAAGAGACGATCTTGACCTCGCCGGCGACGTCATCCAGGTCACGAAATCGACCAACCGTCGAGCTTGGCTCATTGCTACCAGAAGCTCCGAGGTCTCAACATAGTGAGAGACCTACTTTGAGCCAAAATCACACGATTTGACAAACTTTCAGATTACCATTCGAAAAGCTCAAAAAAAACTTTGTTAATATAAAAAATGTTATGATTAAAGTACAATTTGTCGTGCATGAAACGATTTAAGATGTGTATAATTAAATTAAATTAAAATGTAAAGAAGTGGCGTTTAAAGTACATGTTCCGCATAATAAAATAGGCGTTTAAGTATATTTCTCTTAAGCGGTAGCAAGTATAATACTCGATAGGAACGACGTCATTTGATTTTATCCGTTCGAAAGCTGTTCGCCCATTAGTTTACACGATTCCGGTCACGTAAGCATGTGTTTCGTCGTTCGCTAAACCGCAACGGTTATAATAAAAGTAACTGTAGCGGAATCGTTGGACGTCGCGACGCTTAAAAGAAATTCGACGTCGTTTTCGACCGAGTGGTGTCCAAGGCCCACTTGTCCGTATCGTTCACCTTGGAGCGGCAAATTAATGAGCCCGAGTCACATCTCACATTGGCGGAGAGCGTTCAAGGCAACAAGCCTCTGAAATTATGCGTTCCACATAAGTCGTAATTTAAAATCGCCCGGACACGTGTTACCAGGTGCGCCGTCGATCCAAGCCGTTCGCCAATATCCCCATTTGAATATTTTAGGTTCTTTTTATTCTTTTTAATAACCTCCGGATATTAACAACAACAAAAAAATTTTTATTGACTCATTTATCCTTATCAAATCGGCTAAATTGACGGTTTATTTTTATCGATTTAATAATTTAGCTATCGATTTGAAGTTATCAATCTATTTATCATTTTAATTTATCGCATTTTAAAAGTGTTTAGAGGATGTGACTAATCCGTTTTGATTTTTTTTTTGTTTTCAGGATATTATCAACCGGCTGGACCGTTGATAAACGTTCCGCACCATGCCCACACGCAACCACAATCGCTGGGCAAAACTGCTCCTCTATCGGAACCATCTCCATCTATTACACCACCACCGACGCAACATCCACCCACCACTGGTTCTGCAGGAGATTCCTCCGATAATGATGTACGTAGAAAATAAGTAATAAGTATAATTTAATTAATAAAACTCCCAGGCCAAGTATCTCTGGAATAAGTAATTTTTCCATCATCACAAACTTTTTATTAGATGCATGTGATAGAGCATCTAAAACTGTGCAACTTTCTTATTAACATTGATTTCAAAACTTGGTAGATTCGAAGATATTTAACATTAAAGAAGAAAATAATTGCAATAAAAATATAACCCAACAAGGTGGTCACTATCTTATGTTCGTTAATTAACTTTTACTATGTACAGTGGTTCACAGCTTATTTCAACCACCCTCTTTTAAGAAAATATAGCTCACATAATTTCGAAACGAAACAAGATATTGCAAAAATTTAAACAAGGGTTTACATAATACTTTCCAAACTTAAAAAAAAGAAGTTTTATTCAGTCTCAAATTTACATTTTCAAACATTTACAAACTAAAAACCAAAAACATACCTACATAAGTAGTCACAGCTTATTTCAACCACCCACTTCTAAGATCTGTTAAGTTGACTTTTTTTGAGGTTATGTTTCCAATTATGTAAATACATATGGTTGTAGTGTGATTTGGGCAGTTAAGTAAACCAGAGGCGTATTTTGTGACAATGGGACGACGTACTACCATAGAACACAGGGAATTGGTTATTAGCCATTTTAAAAACGGCCATTCGCGTCGGAAAATTGCTGAAATGGTTCGCCTTAGTGATTCGACAGTGCAAAGCATAATATCTCGGTTCGTTCATAAAAATAGGATACATGATAAGGGCAGAAAAGCTCCCAACAAAATTTTTAACGAAACTGATGAGCGCTACATTGTCAGGAAAATAAAGGAAAACCCGAAGCTATCCGCTCCAAAATTGGCTACAGAAGTTCAAAATCAGCTGAATAAAACATGCAGTGCGGAAACTATTCGCCGTGTATTACGAAACCATGGTTTTAATGGTAGAGTAGCGCGGAAAAAACCATTTATTAATAAGAAAAATCAAGCAGCGCGCCTAAAATTCGCCAAGGAACATATTAACAAAGATTCAAACTTTTGGGAGCAAGTTATTTTTGCGGATGAGTCTAAATTTAATATTTTCGGCTCGGATGGTCAAACTTACGTCTGGCGTAAGCCAAATACAGAGCTCCAAAATAAAAATTTAAAAGCGACAGTAAAACACGGTGGTGGTAGTGTCATGGTGTGGGCTTGTATGTCATCAAGTGGGGTAGGAAACTTACAGTTTATTGAAAGTACAATGGACAAAAATAAATACCTCGACATCCTAAAGTCCAATTTATTACAAAGTGCCGAAAAACTGGGTATAAGGGAGGGGTTTCGGTTCTATCAGGACAACGACCCGAAACATAAATCTGGTATTGTGCAGACATGGCTGATTTGGAACTGTCCCCACTTGATGCAACCGCCGGCACAATCACCTGATTTAAATGTTATTGAAAACTTATGGGCAATTTTAGACCAAAACATCCGTCAACACCAGATCTCGAACAGGAATGACCTTATAGCAGCGCTAAAGGAGGAATGGGCAAAAATAACTCCCCAAACCACAAGAAAGTTAGTGGAATCCATGCAAAGAAGGCTGAAAGCTGTAATTGACCAAAAAGGAGGTCATACTAAGTTTTGAAATTAAATAAATTAAGTTAAAATAATAAGTGGTTGAAATAAGCTGTGACTACTTATGTAGGTATGTTTTTGGTTTTTAGTTTGTAAATGTTTGAAAATGTAAATTTGAGACTGAATAAAACTTCTTTTTTTTAAGTTTGGAAAGTATTATGTAAACCCTTGTTTAAATTTTTGCAATATCTTGTTTCGTTTCGAAATTATGTGAGCTATATTTTCTTAAAAGAGGGTGGTTGAAATAAGCTGTGAATCACTGTATGTCTCTTCTTTATCAACCTTACTACTAACTCCATCAACCTAACACCGTATATAACATCCCCCTTTTTTCTTATTTTTACATTATATAATCCTTAAATCTACTTGGTCTTCTTATTTCTCTTCTTGTCCTTGTTTTTTGTATTTGCTGATTTACTTACTCTCCCTGGTCTTTATTCTTTATATTTTAATTTCAGACTCCAACTCTGTCTTCTTTAGCTGCACTCTATTTCTTTTAATCATTTCTCCATATTGTCTCACTTGAGCAATTTTGTGTATTCTTCTTCTTCACTACTTTCTATATCGTTTTTTACTGCATAAACACTTTTTGCTTTGCAAGCAATAGTAAAATGATTATATTTTTTTACAATTATTGCATACTTTTCCATAGGCTGGGCATTCTTTAAACTTGTGTCTCCTCAAACATCTTTTGCATTTGAATTCTTCTTTTTGAACATCTTTACATCGTGTTTTTGTCGCTTCAAACGCTCTACAAATTTCCATTGTTAATTCCTCATGGCTTTCAATTTCTTGCAATCCTTTATTATATATACTGTAATAATTTTAACATTCTCTTAGTTCACCGAGAGAACATAACCTAGAATTTGTGACAGAGAGATTTTTTGTTGGTGAAAATCTTATCTGAAACCGTTTTGTTTACTTCCAAATGTATCAATTATTGTAGTTCAGCTCCTAAAGCACATTTTTCATCCATCTTTTGAGGTTTTAACGTTATTTTGAGGAAGAAATCCTTGATTTAAATTTGAATTTTTCTAACTTTACTCATTGTTGAAATTTGGCGTGTACTCCAATGTATGTCTAAAAACAAGAAAAGACAACGTTGAATACGAAGTTTTATTACGTTTCATAAAGGAATAAGGGAGAAATCAACGAAAAAAGAATTAAATTTTGAAGGTTAATTCCGAGAAAAATCAAGAGATGACGCTAGTTTCGAAGCAAGAATTTTGAATTTTGAAAAGGGCGCGAAGCTAAGAGCCAATCAGAAACGAGGAAAAAACAGTTGGAGTGCCGGGGTATATAAGGAGATCGCGAACAGGGAGTGAAAGAGTCGTCGTCTGACCAGCGTCGAATCCACGTCGTCAGATAGAAGAAATTTTGAATCTCAAGAGATAACCTCAAAAATTTAAGATAATTTTTTAAAGTCAAATCAACTTACGATATTAAAATAAAAAGAGAATCATCCTACAACCTATTCCGAGAACTACTGATACTTCTTCGAGATCATCCAAGACCCTATTTCCGAAGAACAAGCAGTTCAATTTCCCGTAAGAAGAATCCTGTAGACAATCCAGAAAATTAGTTAGTGCCCCGAACACAAGAGACAATTCCATAATCCAGATACCACATTGAACTCCAATCCTTTCTTTTATACAGTGAGTCGGATGATAATTTTATTTTATTATTTAACATAACCTACAAAAAGAAAATTCAAAGAATCAAACTCAAAGAACAACTCACAAGAGTTTCCTATAATTTTGATCAATACTTACTTGTGTGTAAAGATTTATTAGTTTTTCTTGAATAACGTTCATTTATTTAATTCTATTTTTTTTTAACGAGTTTGATGACAACTTAAGACATCGGCCATTTGTTATTTTCAAAGAACGGTTCTAACTAGTTTTATCCTACTCTCTCTCTCAAATAATAAACGGGTTCTCTCTAATATCGATATTTCAGTCGATAACCGCAGTTATCTATTTTATTTAAAAATTTATCTCTCGTAAATAAGCATTGTTATTAAAGTTAATTTAGGAAAACCATTTTTTTTGTTGTTACTCATAAAACGAGTTAATTTGATTTTGTTTTAATTAAATGAATTTTTTGTCGAACCTGATTAATATTCTTTTGAACCTGAACTTGCCCGAAACCCTGAGTTTTTAATAAGAGTCTCTTAAAATTAAAGAAACCCAAATTTATAGATTAATAACTTGTGTATAAAACTTCACACAAGTAAAATAACACAATACCATTTCATCGGCTTCTGTAAAGTTGCATGTTTCCAAAAGTTTTCGTAGCTCTTGTACAAAACTATCAAATGGTTCGCCTTCCAGTTGCTTTTCTTATAAAATTTGAATCTTTCATACACATATTTGCCTTTGGATTCATATCCTTCTCAAACTCCTCCATCACTTTATTATATCTCTTTTTATGTTCATCCGACAATTTAAAATTATTATACAGGGTGATTCAAAAAACCGCTGACAGACTTCTAGAGTAGATAATACATGAAAAATTAAGATGATCGGGTCGCAAATGCCACCTTAACGAGATATAGCGGGACAAAGTTTCTTTAAAATTAAACATTATCTGCAATAAAAAGAACATCAATTGTCTTGCTTACATACTATTCCATTATTATGGAAACTAGTTTCTTTGCACCGTAGAATGTTACTGAGTTTATGCTAAAACTGAAAATTCAGCCAAGAGCTGAACTCAACGTATATCATTGCCTGGTTGTAAATGTTGAACAAAATTGCATTTATACGGCAGAAATTTATTTGTTTTTTAAATTCGATGACGTGTAACAGAAATTTGCGTGTTTTCTTAATTGCTGTAATGATTTATGCTAGTTGTCAGTTATTATTTGCAAGATCGTTACAGTTTTCATCATATCGAACTCGTTTTTCTCTTTGTCGTTTCTGTTTCTTAAATGTTACAAAATTGGTAAAGTTTGTGGATAAATTTTTGAATGTTTTCGGTATAATATCTCAACCCATTCCAGATATAGTTTGCTTGGGAGTTTTAAATGAAACATCTGTATTATAAGAAAAATTTTTATACTAAGGTGATTTGTTTTTATTTAATTGTCTAAACCAGGTTTCGGGCTATGCCCTTCATCAGTAAACCGCTACAAATTTACATACAATAAGTTGTTTTTGAATTTACAAAATTTTACGTCAAAATCTTTAAAGTTCGTCGTTGTACGTACAAAATTTTTATTGTTATAAATGTTATAATATCTACTTTGCAATTCAAACAATATGTTTATTATTTTGTACAAATTTCCAAGTTCAGGAGGACAAATTTAAGTTTAAATACAAGTTTTATAATAAATAAAGAATTAAATACAAATACCATACTACAACAACAAAATCGACGACAGGAAGATAGGAACTGCTCCATGCAGCAGATTGCAAAACTATTTCCATCTATTGCAATTGATACAAAATCATCTCATGAGCTTAATTTGAAGGATCAAGCTCAATAACTAAGGTTCATAATGATAATAACAAACCAATCTTCACCAATTTATCTAACCCAGCATTTCTGGAAAAGTCTCTGCTTAAGTCTCTGTTTTCTAAACTCTACTTCCCCAAAAACAATATATCTGGTAGTATTTATGTTTCGAAACTAACTTCACATTCACAATTAGCAACCTCATCCTTCCTCTTGATTATCTTGTTTGGCAATCTTGATTGCTCATTCATCAAGTCTACTACAGTAGTAGTCGATCGGTTTATTTATGTGTTCATAATTGCAATTTCAGTCTCTTTCTATGTTTAGTCTTTTCTGCTTAATTGCAGAAATTCTTTTCGTTCCAGACTCTGATCAATGTATTTTCTCTTTCCAGAGTTTGTACAACCTTTCTTTTGACACCAATCTCCTTCTGTTTCCAGTCTCTTCTATCGCTCTGTTTGCTCTACCCAGTCTCTTTAACTTCCACTTTCACGCCTTATACCTAGCCTCTCTCTATTCTATCCAGACTCTGATTAGTCTATTTCCATATTTGCTTTTTTATGGATAATCACCTTCTTGCATTTGTAGTTCCTTTTCGGTCTTTCCCTTCTCAGCCCACTTTCGTGTTTCTTTCTTATATCTCTAAAGTATACATCCCAAAAAAGATATAACTGGTAGTATTTATGTTTCGGTAATATCTTCATTTTCGAAATTAGCAACCTCATCCTTCCCCTTGATTACCTTATTTGGTTATCCTGATTACATACCTTTTTGGCCCATTCATCAAGTATACTTTAATAGTAGTCGCGATTGGTTTATTTATGCGTTCATAATTGCAATTTCAGTATCGTTATAGAGTTCCTAGTCTATGATTAGTCTTTTCGGCTTAATTATAGACATTCTTTTCTTTCTAGACTCTGTTCAATGTCTAGAGTCTATACAACCTTTCTTTTGGCACTAATCTTCATCTGTTTCCAGTCTTTTCTAAAAGTCTGTTTCCATACTTGCTTTTTTATGGAGTGTCAGTGTTTTCCTTGTCTGTCCAGTCTCTTTTTCTCTTTGTAGTCTCTATTCAGTCTCTTTTTTCTGTTTCGAGTCTCTTCTAGCGCTCTGTTCTTTCTACCTAGTCCCTTTAAAATTAATTTTTACGCCTTGTCACCTAGTCTCAGTCTCTTTGCAGCCTCTTTCTTCTTGTTCTAGTTTCTTTGCATTCTCTTTTTACTATTACCAGTCACTTTCCAATCTTCCTCTTCTATGGCTATCTCCTACTTTCTTCTACAATCTTTTTTCAAACTTTTCCTCTTCTATCCAATTTCTTTTGTCTCGACTCTTTTTGTTCTCTTTCCTGATTCTGATCAATCTCTTTCTTCTGCTACCAATCTCCTTGTTGTTTCAATTCATCTTTAATCAATATTTTTTTATTATTACCACTAATTTCTGTCCAGTCTCTTTGTTTTCCTCCCAGTCTCAGTTCCAGTTCATGTCTTTCTTATCTTATCAGTCCCATTCGTATCTTTGTAGTACTTCAATAAATTCTTAATCTGTTACAAATCTTCTTGTCGTTCCAATCTTTTTCCATCTTGCTTCTGCACACCCCTTTTTTATTTGTGTAAATAAAACAATTTTTGATCAATCAATCTCCTGAATGGAAACTCAATTCTGTAAAGTTTATTAATGTGGTTATACTTATTGTCACATAATAAAAATGTGATGTTAGATTGCAATTAAATATACGATATGATAGCTATCATTTTGTGGTTGTTGTGGTGATATGTTTATTTTAGTTTATTGTAGGTTATATTTAGAGTGAATTAATAATAAATAATTTAAGGATAATTAATTTAAATACTCGTATAAACGGTAGAATATTAATACGGTTTTAATTTTGATAGTGTAATTTGTATTGTTTCAGGTGATAATAACTTCGGTTATAACAAAGGACAGTTCTCCGCCGCAACAGCAGCCAACATATCGTGTGGCGCAGTACCCGCCGCCCCCGACCCACTCCTACCCGTACGCATATCCGTATTATCCAGCCCCACCGCCCCCGCATCCCGCGGCTACCTACACTCACCACGACCTCTGTTACCCTTCGGCCGCCGCGTACCTCCACAAGTACCCCTACAGAAGGTACATGCCGCCCTCGACCAGCAGCCCTTATTTCCCCGCCGGCCCCGCTGATTTATACGCCACCCCACCCCCGGTCCAGCAGACCGTCTCGTCGCAATCCAGTCAACAGGTTTGTTTTTGCGAAAAACATCATTCACCACCTCCACCGAGAAAAGTATCTCTTTACATGATCAATCTTTGAAACGATTCAATTTCAATTTTTTATCACACAACTTAACGAAAATAGTCCGTATTATTATACTTTGTTTTCTTTTTATCTTCTAGTTGCAGAAACTTCACCATCAACACTTGTCTTGTAATTTGTGTCCTCAGGTGGTGACGGCATCGCAATCGGCGGCCGTTGCAACTTCTGGAAGCAGCGGAGGAACAACGGGTTACCAACCACCCCCGAGTGGACCACCACCAGCACCGCCTACGATACTAGATACGTATCCCCCACCGCCTACGCAACCTCCGCCAACGCTCGTCGAATCTTATCCGCCACCCCCGCATTATTATCCAGGATATGCACCGCCGCCGCCGTGTTATTCACACCCGCCCGCCAGAACGTTACCCTGTAAGTAAAAAATTATAAAAAGAAAGTCTTTGACATTAACGAACATTCAATGTTGAAAATCATTCCGAACCCAAAACACGTAATGGGGCGTTCGCGTCGATTACTGGTCTTAATCCGACATGAACCTTCGTCCACGAAAGTGATCGTCTCTCCAGAGGGTTTTGCGTCGTCATCGGCAATTCGCGCACCGTTAATCTTCTCCAAACTCCTTTTCATTCATCTCTTTCGGCGCATTGTCCCTCTTTATACCGGTCGGACCTCGATGCAAGAAGGGCCGGAACAGATGCGATAAGTTTTACCTGACTGCAAAACTCTCATTTCGTCCCCGCAAGGAAAGCGAGACAGAAGACGAGAAGGATGTTTTGGTTTATAGACTGTTAGTCGTCGTCTGCTCCAGTTCGTTAGAGACTCCACTCCTCGTTTGTTGTTGTGTGTTTTGTCGTCAGCTGCTTTTGCTAGTGTCGACCTCAAGTTACGAAAATGTTGTTTCACTGTTTAGGTGAAGTACATTATTAAGCATTAATCTAAAACAAATATTTTTTAAGTCAAGTGCACAAAATGTTTCTATTTCAATTCTTATCTAATCTCGAATTGTTTAACTTCCTGTTTTTATTTATTTATTTTTTTGTAGATGGAGCTTATCAAAGTTGTCCATGCCCAATGAACACCTGTCCAAAAAACGTCCATACTGGACCTCTTATTGGTAGTAGTAAGAGGTCAGATATCACGTCATTAACCAAAGATAAAGTGTTGCTTCCGGTCGCTTTGGCACTTCCTCTTGAACCAGCAAGTGCAACTGGACCTCCAAGTCCAGCTCGGGGCTCCGCAGGAATGCCAGCACCAACATCTCCAGCAGTAGCAGGTACTTACCAAGCACCTCCAACACCAAAACAAGAAGCTATCGAGCCGGAAAGTAAAGTATGCACAGAAAAGCGAAGAACAGCTCGAGTGGGGAAGATGGCAGTTAGAAATAACTTGCAACAAACGAGTACGATGCTGTTGATGTGCCAGGAAAGAGATCAAAATCAAAGTCTTCTTCTCGGGGAAGTTAAGCGGGAAGTAGAGAGTCCTAAAGAGGATCCAAAGAAAGTGCTCATAGAAGTAATTGAGGCACCAATAAAAGCTGTAATAAATTCTAAAGTTGAACCACCACAATCGCCTTGCGAAAATATTGAAGAGTGCCCTAGAACGGAAATAAATCTTGGTCATTGTGACGAAGTAATCGAAGAAATAACTCCTCAATTATCAAAATCTGGAGAAAAACAAACCAATGAGAACCCAGAAACAATAAAAATAGAAGAAATGTTGCCGACAGTGCCCGAAAAAAATTTATTAGAACCTTGTGTTAAAACAGTAGCCGAAAACGTGAAAGTAAAAAATATGAAACGACGATCCTCTAGTACCAAAACGGATGAACCGCCGCAATCGCCGCCGAAAAAACGAAAAATCGACCCGAAATTAAACGGAAGTTACAAAGACTTGATCAATAAAAACTATAACACACTTCAAATTAGCAACGGTAAAAGAAAACTTTTAGCCGCAAATCAAGAATCATCCGAAACGAATAAATTAGAACCCAAACGAACCAGAAGCACATCAAAAGAAATCGACGCCAAGAAACACACCAAACTCGCAAAACAATCGTCGAACGACGATTCCGAATTAATAGAAAACACCGAACCCTCACCGAACCACCAACTCAAACGAAAAAAATTTTGTTCGAGAAACTTAAAGAATATCAAAGGAAATGGAACGGAAAAGAATTATCCGAAAAGCAACGTTGACCGGACCATCGATTGTGTTGTGAATGAATCGCGGACAAAAGTGTTAAGTGACACCCAAAGAACGAACGGTGAAAAAGTGACTAATAACGGCGTTAAAGCGAAGTGCGAAATTAAGAAGGAGCCTGTTATGAGGAAGAAACTGGTGAAAACTATTCCGAAACCTGCGGCGCCGGTTGAAGTTAAAAAACCGCCGATTGTTGTTAAGAAAAAAATTAAGCAGAAAGTACCGGAAGTTATTGTTACTGCTGCCCCTATTGTTAAACCAAGGAGAAGTCTTCCAGCACCTAAGTGGTCTAATGGATGGACTTGGATGGGTGAACCATATGAAGGAAAAGTTTTTCTTAATGTAAGTTAAATTCATATTCATATTTTTGATAACATATAAAATAACTGAACAAGTTATATACTAAAACTAAAAAAAAATAAAAGTTTTAAAACCAAAACTAGAACTAACACTAGGTCTAGTGTTCTAGTTTTACACTATCACTAGAACAAACACAATCCCTAGAACTAGAATCATTCGGGTTTAGCCGTCTTGAGAGACGTGCGGCTAAACCCGAATGTTTCTAGTTCTCGGTCTAGTGTTAGTTTTAGTATTGCACTAGCACTATTACTAGAACTAACACAAGATCTAGAACTAGAATCATTCGGGTTTAGCCGTCTTATGAGACGTGCGGCTAAACCCGAATGATTCTAGTTCTAGGTCTAATGTTAGTTCCAATGCTATTATTAATTCTAGAGTCAGTTGTTATTCACTGTTAGGTTGTGTATTTTTATTGAACTAAAACTAGAACTAACACTAGACCTAGAACTAGAAACATTCGGGTTTAGCCGAGTGTCTTTAAAGACGGCTAAACCCGAACGTTTCTAGGTTTAGTGTTAGTTTTAAAATTAAAACTAGAACTAACACTAGACCTAAAACTAGAATCATTCGGGTTTAGCCGTCTTATGAGACGTGCGGCTAAACCCGAATGATTCTAGTTCTACGTCTAATGTTAGTTCCAATGCTATTACTAATTCTAGAGTCAGTTGTTATTAACTGTTATGTTGTGTATTGTTATTGAACTAAAACTAGAACTAACACTAGACCTAGAACTAGAAACATTCGGATTTAGCCGAGCGTCTTTAAAGTCGGCTAAACCCGAACTTTTCTAGTTCTAGGTCTAGTGTTAGTTTTAAAATTAAAACTAGAACTAACACTAGACCTAAAACTAGAATCATTCGGATTTAGCCGTCTTAAGAGACGCACGGCTAAACCCGAATGATTCTAGTTCTAGGTCTAATGTTAGTTCCAATATTAGTGTTAATTCTAGAATCAGTTGTTATTCACTGTTATGTTGTGCATTTTTATTGAACTAAAACTAGAACTTTCTAGTTCTAAGTCTAGTGTTATCTCGTCACGAACGAGCCTTCGAGTTCTATTTGGCCAAATAGCTTTTTTAATCTATTTTGTACGTACAACATTTCATTAATGTTAATGTTTATTAGAATTTTTGTTAAAACAGGTATAAATCATTTCGTATTTACTGTCAAGCAAATCACAATAAAATCATCACTGTAATAATAATCCATAATTATCGTAAAATTACTATAATCCGATCGCAATAAACCGTTTAATAAGAGAGTACGGTATCTGATACTCAATGTGATTACACACATAAATTTTAAATTCGTCACAGAATATCGGTGGTTACTGAAACATTAATTATATACTACTATAATATTAACCTACCAGCATTTGCAACATTGTCTCAGATATTTGCAAAAACTAACACAAAACCTAGAACTAGAAACATTCGGGTTTAGTGTTATTTTGTGTATAAGTTAACATTAGGACTATTATTATTCGAACTAGAATATTTAGAAATATTTGGGTTTGACCATGCGTCTCCTGCAACTCAACTTGACGCTGAATAACAATTGAGGACCTTGTAGCAACAACGAGGCAGCTCCACTTATTGTCAAAAATGAGTTAAATATACTGTTGCATCTAATAACGTAAGTGCAACAGCGAGGCACCAACCGAATGAAATCCTGGTAGGGTAATGTTAAACGGAGCTGCCTCCATCTTTAAATTATGGCAACAACAAAGCAACTTCTGTATGAGTTATACTTGAAGATATATGAACCTACAATATATAGTGACATGAAAACGAAAAAAAAAACTCTTGGTCTCTTACGATTTCTTTTTACCTTTCTTTTGGCCACCCTAGAAGTGACACGTGTCAAATTTTTGATAGATTAGAAAATAAGATTAAAAATAAGGAGTTAACCGACGATCAGAAGAACGAGCTAGAAACTGAAAAAAGTTGCACCTCAATAAATGCCAAGTATTTTATGATGATCTAAAAATTAAGCAGACTTTGGTGAGAAATGATCCTACAGTTGACACACTTTCGCTTGATTTTCAACAGAATGCTCCACTGCCTAGAGTCTCTACTAAACTAGTAGTACTAGTATCATGAAGCTCAAGGTAAAAGGACACCAAATGAACCAAAAGTTTTTTGCATCACTTTACTACAAACATACTGGATAAAAATGTTGAAACATTATATTTGTTTATATTGATTGGTCCAATCTGACAGAATCAAAAAAATAGTTCATCGTTTTGCTGAGCCTGGCCACATCGTTTTCTGCCTTGTGACCTATCTTTTGAATTTGTTGAAATGAATATCTCCCTAAAAATTTGATGATTTTTAAGCATTTCCAAATAGCCAGAACTAATAGACACATCCCTTTAGAACCCCTTGTATCCCTTATGTACCTGAAAATGATTTACTATTCTACAGATCTTTAAAATCTGGTAAGGTGGTAGAAAATCATGATGACATTGATATGACTGACGATGACACAAATGAATAGCTGTTTAAATAAATGATTGGTTTTGTAAATGCGTTTCAACATCTATAAAATATTAATAAAGTAGTTTTTTTGTAAATTGATAGTAACAACGAGGTAGCTCCTATTATATACACAATAATGAATAAACAAATTTTTGAAATTTTAATTTTGCTAAAAATGATTATAATCAGTGTGAAACTTTGATTATACCTAACAGAAAAATAAACTAATTGCAAAAGACTTTGGGTATTGTTACGGAAAAGTTTTTCGTGCCCCAGAACAATTTGTTAAAATGGAGCTATGTTCTAGCTAAAACTAGAAAAAACAATAAAACTAGAAACATTCGGGTTTAGCCGTATTGAGAGATGCAGGGCTAAACCCGAATGTTTCTAGTTCTAGATCTAGTGTTAATTCTAGTTTTAGTGTTATTTTGTGTATAAACCAACATTGGCACTAGAATTAACATTAGATCTAGAACTAGAAACATTCGGGTTTAGCCGTCTTAGGTCCATTACTACCATCTTTTAGTTAAATTTATCTTATAGATAAACCCATCTACTAGCCAATCAGAGAGCTTAAAATAGCCGTAACCGTGGTAATAATCCCTTAGATAGCTTAACCAGAAGATGGTAGTAATGGACCTTAGACCCACTTTTACCACCTCCTGATAAATTTATCCGATAGATAAATCCAGTTCTCAGCCAATGAGAGCGCTTAAAACCGCCGCAACCATGGCAACTATCCTCTAGATAGGTTATCAGGAGGATGGTAAAAGTGGGCCTTAAAAGACGAACGGCTAAACCCGAATGATTCTAGTTTTAGGTTTAGTATTAGTTCTAGTTTTTGTTCAATAAAGATATACAACAACTTGACGCTGAATAACAATTAAAACTAGAACTAACACTAGACCTAGAACTAGAATCATTCGGGGTTAGCCGTCTTGAGAGACGTGCGGCTAAACCCGAATGTTTCTAGTTCTCGGTCTAGTGTTAGTTCTAGTTTTACACTAACACTAGAACTAACACTAGAGCTAGAACTAGAAACATTTGGATTTAGCCGTCTTGAGAGACACAGGGCTAAATCCGAATGATTCTAGTTCTAAATCTAGTGTTAACTCTAGTTTTAGTGTTATTTTGTGTATAAACTAACATTAGCACTAGAACTAACAGTAGATCTAGAACTAGAAACATTCGGGTTTAGCCGTTCGTCTTTTAAGACGGCTAAACCCGAATGATTCTAGTTCTAGGTTTAGTGTTAGTTCTAGTTTTAGTCCAATAAAGATATACAACAATCAAACGCTGAATAACAAGTAAAACTAGAACTAACACTAGACCTAGAACGAGAAAGTTTCTAATTCTAGGTCTAGTGTTAGTTCTAGTTTTAGTTCAATAAAAATATACAACATATCAATATCTAGTGCTAACTAGCATTACCTAGCACCGTCACTAGAAATAACATTACACCTAGAACTAGAAACATTCGGATTTAGCCGATCGTCTCTTAAGACGGCTAAACCCAAATGATTCTAGTTGTAGGTGTACTGTTTGTTCTAGTTTACTTCAATAAGGATATACAACAATCTAACGCTGAATAACAACTAAAATTAGAGCTAACACTAGCACTAGAACTAACACTAAACCTAAAATTAAAAGTTTAATAAAAAAATATTAATTATTATTATTTTTTTTTACAGAGTGATGAAGCTAACATCTCAAGAAAATGTTACCCAGCGATGAGACACGAAGAAGGTGATATAATAGAACCAAGAGATTGTGTCTTATTAAAAGCTGGACAAAAAAAGAACGACCTGCCTTTTGTTGCGAAAGTTGCCGCATTATGGGAAAATCCTGAAGATGGTAAATAAATAAAATTAATTCTTTTTTATTAAAATAATAAACAAATAAATATAACTTCTTATCTTGCAAAATTCAATTTATTTAACGGAACCGATTTCGACTAGTTTTACTTAGTCATCTTCAGCCGAATCTACAATTATATTTTAATTACAATTTAATAATTAAAAGTTTATTAAACTTAATTAGAACTGATTAGAACTTATATATTGTATTTTAAAGTGTAATTTCATACTTTTAAAATGTTTTTTATATGTCTGCTCTTTGTGATGTTGATTTTATTTTATTGACTGTAAGTTCTATAAGAATTTTAACTTTTAATTATTAAATTGTAATTAAAATATAATTGTAGATTTGGTTGAAGATGACTAGTCGAAACAGGTTCCGTTAAATAAATTGAATTTTGCAAGATAAGAAGTTATATTTAAACGAAACTTGCAACATGGATATCAACAGTTATAATTTTTTTTTAGGTGAAATGATGTTTAGTTTGTTATGGTATTATCGACCAGAACATACCGATCAAGGAAGACTCCTTTCGGATGAAATCGATGAAGTTTTCGCATCGAGACACAAAGATTCAAACAGCGTGGCTTGTATTGAAGATAAATGTTACGTGTTAACATTTAACGAATACTGCAGGTAAGGTGTTTTAGTTTTGATGTATTTCGAAATGGCTGTTAAAATGGCAGATGTAAACATGAGGCAATTACCGCGTTTTTATTACAAAGCTCTGGGCTGGGTTCTACATTAAAGAGAGATTCAAACCACATGTTGCTCGCCAATTATAAACGAGGAGGGGTTGTTTTCGGTTTATGAACAAAATCATGCGTCGTGTTTGTAATACAATAGCGAGAGGGAAAAAAGTTAATGGATTTGTGTTTTTTGTTTTAGGTATCGCAAAAATTTAAGAAGATTAGAACATGGTTTGGAGGAAATACCATCAACTATTCCCACAAACGAGCCGTATCCGAGAATAATACGGCAACCGCCGGCAAATGTTGTCACAGCACCGGATTTGGTATTTTTCTGTCGTCGAGTTTACGATTTTCGACAGAAAAGAATCGTTAAAAATCCGAGTTAATTTTGTTTTACAAAAATTCAAAGTGACAACATTACCTAGTAGGTCTTTCAAAAATTAAAAAAATCACGGAAAAGCACACGTATTATTTGATACTAAAAAAGTACATATTGTTACAAAATATTTAAATATATATAAAAGTGGGAACATTTGTATATTAGTTTTACTAAAAAAAATGAGAAAAAAAAATGAAAACATTGTATAGAAAAATATAGATTATATATTTAACATACAGATGATCATATTTATAATTTTAGTAATAGAATTGCCGGTGTACATGGTGTGAGCTTATAGAGAATAGCAAGTCAATGTTGTAATATAAATTTCAATTACAATAAGTTTTTGCATTTGTCTGGAGCGCGTGTAGTTTCTTTATTTTTTAATTAAATCACAATTATACTTGGTGAGTTAGAAAACAACACCTTGTATATTAATTTTTTTGACTAACAAATTTATTTTAACCACTTTTACTATAATTGTACGTCAATTATAACATCAAAACGAAAAAATCGCATTTAAAATTAGATATTCACGTTATCAAAGAAAAAAAATTAATAAAATCAACATTCCAGAAAAATCCTTTACACTTTATCAATGTTGAGGTGGTTAAAATAATAAATTAAAAAAAAAAAGTTAAATTTACAGTGTTTATAATAAAAAAAAATTTATCTTAAAAGTTACTAAAAAAACCTTAATTTTTTTGTTACTATTATGTTAATTTGAAATTAATATAACAATTTATTTCTTATATACTTAATATATTTCTATATTATTATTATTATGTAATTTTTTTTGCTAGTTCTATAACAATTATTATTATTGAAAAAAAAATTATTAATATATTTTGTTTGCTCCCTAGAGCGAGTCGTTATAAATTATTGTAGCCAAAGTTACGTTATTTTTTAATTTATTTTATTTACGAAAACAAGAACCTTTTCATGGTAGGATTAAACTCGTAAATAGCATTATTTTTTTTTCCTGTATTTGTTATTTTATTTTTTAAGGATTGTATTCTTCTAAATCATACAATACAAACGTAAATCGATTTAAAGATAAAATCACAGTTCCGAAATCTTCGTTACATAGTCAATTTAAAAGTAATAAACACAACACAACAGAATTAAATGAAACAAAGAAAGTAATTATTGATAAAGCGGTTCGGTTTTTTGTTGTTTATTAGCGAGGTCGGTTCATTCGGATTCGATTCACGGTGCGATTCTTTACGTTTTAGGTATTGTACGCCTTCTAGGTGCCTTCCTAACGCTCTACTCGTGGTCGCTTATTGATCTTTTAGTTTTTCGTTTCCGAGTATCATCTTATTGTTTTCACATCATTCTATAAATAAATGTGTGAAAGTACTATTTGACTTTTTATTTTATTCAAAAGTTACCTCTGTAAGTTTATACACATTTTCAACACAAAAATACAAATAAATAGGGAAAACATAAACTAATAACAATAATAAGACTTTGCAGAATAAATTAAGATTTTAAAGAAGTTCAGACAACAAAAAACTGAAGAGAGCCTGGTAATTGGGAAAAAAGTTGAACCAATTCAAGAATAATACACTTTGAGTTCAAAAATGGAAATAAATAGAGAAGAGAGAGACTTGAATGAGACTGAACATATACTGGAAAGAAAGAAGAGACTATACTGAAAGGAGGAAGACTAGAAAAAGACTCTAAAGGCATGAAAGGGATTTGAACATAAACTAATAACACAATAATAAGACTGGGCAGAATGGATTATGACTGAAAAGAAGTTATAAGTGAAAGAAACATGATGTACAGAGAACAAAAAACTGAAAAGAAGCTAGTTAATTGCGGAAGGAGACTGGGCAGAAACTAGTAATAAGGGAAAAAAGTTGAAGAAACCCTGGAATAATACACTTTGAACTCATAAATGGAAATAAATAGAGAAGAGTGAGACTTGAAAGAGACTGAACATATACTGGAGAGAAAGGAAAGACTATACCGAAAGGAGGAAGACTAGAAAAAAGCTCTAAAGGCAAGAAAAAAGCTCTAAAAGCAAGAAAAAGACTTAACATAAACTAAAAACACAAAAATGAGGTTGTGCAGAATGGACTAAGATTGGAAAGAAGTTATAAGGCAAGAAACATGCTGTACAGAGATCAAAAAACTGAAGAGAAGCTAGTTAATTGCGAAAAGAGACTGAGTAGAAACTAAAAAGAGAAGAAAAAAGCTAGTAATAGTTGAAAAAAGTGGAATAAATCCTGGAATAATACACTTTGAACTCATAAATGGAAATAAGTAGAGAAGAGAGAGACTGAACATAGACTGGAAAGAAAAGAAAGACTATACCAAAAGGAGGAAGACTAGAAAAAGACTCTAAAGGCAAGAAAAAGACTTAACACAAACAAATAACACAAGAATGAGATTGTGCAGAATGGACTAAGATTGGAAAGAAGTTATAAGTGCAAGAAACATGCTGTACAGAGAACAAAAAACTGAGGAGAGACTAGTTAATTGTTGAAGGAGACTGAGCAGAAACTAAAAAGAGAGGAAAAAAGCTAGTAATAGAGAAAAAAAGTTGAACAAAACCTGGAATAATACACTTTGAACTCATAAATGGAAATAAATAGAGAAGAGTGAGACTTGAAAGAGACTGAACATATACTGGAGCGAAAGGAGAGACTATACTGAAAGGAGGAAAACCAGAAAAAAGCTCTAAAGGCAAGAAAAAAGCTCTAAAAGCAAGAAAAAGACTTAACATAAACTAAAAACACAAGAATGAGGTTGTGCAGAATGGACTAAGATTGGAAAGAAGTTATAAGGCAAGAAACATGCTGTACAGAGATAAAAAAACTGAAGAGAAGCTAGTTATTTGCGAAAAGAGACTGAGCAGAAACTAAAAAGAGAAGAAAAAAGCTAGTAATAGTTGAAAAAAGTGGAATAAATCCTGGAATAATACACTTTGAACTCATAAATGGAAATAAGTAGAGAAGAGAGAGACTGAACATATACTGGAAAGAAAAGAAAGACTATACCAAAAGGAGGAAGACTAGAAAAAGACTCTAAAGGCAAGAAAAAGACTTAACACAAACAAATAACACAAGAATGAGATTGTGCAGAATGGACTAAGATTGGAAAGAAGTTATAAGTGCAAGAAACATGCTGTACAGAGAACAAAAAACTGAGGAGAGACTAGTTAATTGTTGAAGGAGACTGAGCAGAAACTAAAAAGAGAGGAAAAAAGCTAGTAATAGAGAAAAAAAGTTGAACAAAACCTGGAATAATACACTTTGAACTCATAAATGGAAATAAATAGAGAAGAGTGAGACTTGAAAGAGACTGAACATATACTGGAGAGAAAGGAGAGACTATACTGAAAGGAGGAAAACTAGAAAAAAGCTCTAAAGGCAAGAAAAAAGCTCTAAAAGCAAGAAAAAGACTTAACATAAACTAAAAACACAAGAATGAGGTTGTGCAAAATGGACTGAGATTGGAAAGAAGTTATAAGTGCAAGAAACATGCTATACAGAGATCAAAAAACTGAAGAGAAGCTAGTTAATTGCGAAAAGAGACTGAGCAGAAACTAAAAAGAGAAGAAAAAAGCTAGTAATAGGGGAAAAAAGTGGAATAAATCCTGGAATAATACACTTTGAACTCATAAATGGAAATAAATAGAGAAGAGAGAGACTTGATAGAGACTAAACATATACTGGAGAGAAAGGAGAGACTATACCGAAAGGAGGAAGATTAGAAAAGGACTCCAAAGGCAAGAAAGAGACTTAACATAAACTAATAACACAAGAATGAGGTTGTGCAGAATGGACTAAGATTGGAAAGAAGTTGTAAGTGCAAGAAATATGCTGTACAGAGAACAAAAAACTGAAGAGAGGTTAGTTAATTGCGGCAGGAGACTGAGCAGAAACTAAAAAGAGAAGAAAAAAGCTAGTAATAGAGGAAAAAAAGTGGAACAAACCCTGGAATAATACACCTTGAACTCATAAATGGAAATAAATAGAGAAGAGAGACACTTGAAAGAGACTGAACATAGTCTAAAAAGAAAGGAGAAACTAAACCGAAGGGGGGAAGACTAGAATAAGACTAAAGGCAAGACAGAGACTGAACATAAAGTAATACTACAAGAATGAGGTTGTGCAGAATGGACTGAGATTGGAAAGAAGTTATAAGTGCAAGAAACATGCTATACAGAGAACAAAAAACTGAAGAAAGGCTAGTAATTGCGGAAAAATGTTAAGCAAAAGCTAGAAAAAGAAGAAAAAAGCTAGTAATAGGGGAAAAAAGTTGAACAAATGCTGCAATAATACACTTTAAACTCAAAAATGAAAATAGAGAAAAGAAAGACTAGAAAAAGACTGTAAAGACAAAGAAGAGACTAAATAATACACTTTAAACTCAAAAAGAAAATAGATAGAGATGAAAGATGCTTTAAAAAGACTGAATGTATGTTGGAAAGAAAAAAGAGACTGAATCGAAAGGAGGATAACTTTAAAAAAACTGTAAAAGCTGATAAGACAGCCTTTAACTTTAGCTAATTCTGGAAACAACCAACATCGTATGATTACAACACTTAGAGTATCTCAAACCATATCAAGGCGATGTTAAAAATTCTGCGTTGACAAGGTTGTAAAGATTTGGCCAGCTATGCAACATTCACTAAAAATTTGAAAGAAACATTTAGTTACTTCATTGAATTTCCATTTATAATTCGAAAGATATCAAATAACCTAGTTATTATTAAGTAATAATTAAAACACATATTATAGGATAATTAGAATTAATAAAATGTTTTATTTTCATGATATTAATAAAAAAATATATTTATTTTATCTATTACAACGGCTTTCAGTTTAATAATTATATAATAATATCATAATTCAAATAAATAATTAATATTTTTTCAAGGTATGATACCGTTCAAAACAATCACCTTTATGTAATGGAACATTACAAAATTTGCAAACAAAACATGTTCTACTTCTTTTTTTTCGAACAGCACAAACTCTACATTGTCTTTGGGGTTTTACACTTTTACCACTAGTTACTATGTTTATAAGTTTATGTTTTCCGAAATTGGCGAGTCTTCCGGGATTGTCTAATTTGGGTGCTCTCCTCGTGGGTGCAGAACTAGGTATATTGTCATCTTGTTCCATACAATTGGTTTCATCTTCTATCCACGAAACTGCCACCTTGTGCAAGAAATTCTTGTACGTAATATTTTTTCCGTTTAAAACTGTGTATACTTTGAATGAATTAAAAAGCGCACAGTTTATAAAAAACATTACAACCCGTTTAGTCCATTTTTTTGTTTTTCTAAAAATGGAATAGTATGCTAGATATTGTTCCGCGCGATCTACTCCTTTCGTATATCTGTTAAAATCTGTGATGGAATTGGGCTTTTGTATTGGGGCATTTGATCTTTTAGTTTTGCTTGTGGATTCCGTCAATTGTGCAGAATGTATAGTAGATATCATATTTATATTTTTTTTGCCATTATTCCATACTTCTAACAAAATTTGACGATTCCTACGAAATTTGTGCTGACCTCTTGAAAGTCGTAATGTTTGTAGAGATGGAGGAAGACCTTTATTTTTTCGAATGGTTCCGCATACTCGCACTTTATTTTGCAGTAGGATTTTAGCCATTTTGACGCTGTTATGATAATTGTCTTGATAAATGTGGTGCCATATGTTTTTATATGGTTCAATAACCGTTAAATTTTCCGATTTTTTGCCATCGACATCATATACGTGAAAATTGCATATGTATCCTGTGACAGCTTCACACAGCATTTTTACATGTATTCCGTGTTTTGCAATTTTTGCCGGATTAATGGATAATCGACCTCTCCATGGAATTATACATTCATCCAAAGATAATTGTTGATTGGGCTTATATACATCGTTAAATTTTCGCTGTAAATAATCAATGACAGGCTGGATTTTAGCAAGCCTTGCATTGTGAGGAATATTGTTGTTATTGCAAAAATGCCAGCTCTGCATTATTTGCACAAATCTATTTCTGGTCATGATTTGCGAAAAGAATGGAGTTTCTATACTTGGATCTGTTGACCAATAGTCGTAAAACACGTCTTTTTTTACCTGACCCATTAGAAGTATTAATCCCAACATTTTTTTCATTTCCATTACCGTTATATCTGTCCATTTTTTCACTCTTGATGGAATTTTATCTTTTTGTATGATCTGGTAATGATATCTGTTGGATTCCTTCACTAAGTGCTCGAAAAAGTCCATTCCAATAAATAAATTGACGCTGTCCATCACATTTTCTGTAGAACTAGGCATTATTTTTATACCAGGGCTGCCTTCAAAAGGTTCCAAAATTATCGCTTCATCTTCTGTCGACCATATATTTTCAATGTTATTTGTACCGTCTTCGATGCTACTCATCTCGTCGTCTTCTGAATAACTACATCTTACTGGCAATACAGAACCCCACTTTTGAATTATTATATCGCTGTCATCACTTTCGTCATCACTATCACTTCCTGAATAACTGTCAGAATAATCTGATAAATCGTCTAAATAAAACTCTTCAATACCATTCTTTTCGCTCATCGTAAACGGTCGATTAATCGGTCGGTAAAGTGTTAACTTCTCTTTTTAATTAAGTTTTGTATCCCCATTTATGCTTATATATTTATTCCTGTAATAAAACTCATGTTTCTATATTTATGTTACCAGCAATCTCCATTACGCCGGCACACCTAAAATTGACTAGGCAATTCGCACATTGCCTGAGCATTTTTGACCAAGTCTGAAATAACTTTAATTTCGGGGTTTGTCTGGTATGCAACTAGGCAATCTTAGGTGTGCCAAATGAGGCTCAAGCAAAGTCCGAAAAGTGTAAATTAACTATGGACTTTGCCTAAAGTAGGTCAGGCAAACTTGGGTTTCACGTGCTTTCCTTGTCAGTGATGCGCACGACGCACTCTTCAAGTAATAAGTATTAATTTCTAATTGAAAGCAAGCAACGCTACCAGGAAATTATTCAAGAAGTAGAAGCTGTAAAGAAAGTAAGTAAGAAATCGAGTAAGAAGACGAAGACAGCAGAGTATGTGGATCACATACTACCGGATGCTTTTTGTATTTTAAGACACAACTTACGAGAGTTTGCTAATCGGGTAGTAGCCTGAGCTAGCAATAGTCCATGGCAAACCCAGACACTCGCAAAGTTAAGGGAGTATGGAGAGATCTAACCGGGACGTAGAAGATATGTTATTTCCGTGGATGGAAGACAATAAGACTAAGCGTTGGAGCGAAGATTTTCGTTTTTGTCAGCTTCAGAAAAACAATGCAGAATACGACAAACACCTTTTGAAGTGAGGTTCGGTAATTAATAACAGTTTCTATTTCATTAAAAGAAGAAACGCCCATATCGAAATACAGTCATTGCCTGATTCCATCAAAAATGTTCTTAGAACTGAAGAAGATCTTGAAGCAACTACTGTGGAGCAGAAGAATTCCACTTGTGGTCCTAATGCAGAAAGTCTTGGAGGATCAACTCCGTTTCTTGATGCAGAAAATACTAAAGGAACAACTCCTGTCCTAGATATTGCTATGATAAAATTGGAACCTGTTTGTTGCATATGCGAAAATAAACTTCAAGAGTCCACAAGTGTTTTCACGAATTCAACGAGTAGTTGGATTGACAATTTCTGGTGCAATAAGCACAACGCCAACTCTAGCAATGGAGGTTCTGCTTGGCCTATCTCCTCTGCATTTGCATATAGAGAAAGTGGCTAAAACAACCATTTACAGATTTAAGCAATATGCTCAAAACTGTTCCGACATGTCCTACTAATGGGCTGTGGAAGACATTATAAGCACTGACACAGTGTCTATCAGTGATTAATGCTCGATACCAGATATTACAGCCTGAGCGGCAGTCCTGAAAATAAAAATTCTCTGGTTCAGGCAGATATAGGCATGTTCACAGATGGATCAAAAACGGCGGAAGGGTTTTCGAATTAAGCAAGCTTACAGTCTGGGTACGTACTGTACTGTATGCTAGGCGGAGGAAGGAAGTATTTGCTATTGACATGGGTGCTAAAATCCTTCTGCAGAGAGGGGTGAAGAACATGACAGTACGAATTTTCTCAAACATTCAAGCCGCTGCAAGCCGTGAAAACGGTGTCGGCTCTGGGTAATGATTCTCTGATCTGAATCCCGGTCACTCTGGGATTGCTAGCAATGGAGCGGCAGATGAGCTAGCGCGAGAGGGCAACGCTAAAGCGTTTATGGGGCCGGAAGCCGGAACCAGTAGTTGCTGTATCATTTGCGATGGCCAAATATAGGATTGTACTTTAGACTGAAGAGAGACTTTGCCTATTGTGGACCAGTTCTCCTAGAATGAGACATGCTAAGGTGTTTATTAACATCGCCACTGTCAAACCCGGGAATATTTTAGGACTTGCTCTAAACTTCTAATGGGTGTCTTTACTGGGCACAGCCGATTAAAAGTATACCTCAACAACCAGAGTACCAGTTATACCAACAAGGATTACGGAGCATCAGTTTTATGTCTTCGGTGTGCAAAAAGAAAAACGATGACTTCAAATCAAGAGAAAGCTGTCGATGGATTGAAAGAGCAGACAGAGAAAATGAAGTTTATATCTAATAAGAATTTCCCCCGATTGAGGTTGGAACATCAGTAACTGCGTGTTCCAAGCCATCACAGGAGCAAAGAAGATGCGGCAAACTGAATTGGCGTAGTTTTGGGAGACAATGAATGATGGACTTTATATGATCTATTGATCGCAAACACTATGTGGAGTCAGAGGAGACAAGATAAATATACATTTGTGGCGGAAAAAGGAATGCTAAAAGTATTATTGATTACATCACATACACCCAGAATCTCCAAAACAGAGTCGAGGTGGTAAAGACTGAAGCAGAAGCAGAAATGAGAACCAACCTCAGACTAGTCATGGCAACTATTAATAATATAGAAGTCGAAAGAGAAGAGATGAAATCCATAAACTAAGGCAAGAGGAAGAAAGACTAAAATACCAAGAAAAAATAAACAGCGAATTTCAAAAACTAGAACAAACAGAGAATTTAACACTGGAAAAAAGGTGGAGAATTTTTAAAGAAATAATGCGAAATAAAGCTAAACTTAGGAAGAAGTAGGAGGAAAGAATACCAGAAGTTGGGATGAAGAGAGCGAAGACTCTAGCAGATATAAAGGAATTAGCCAGGAACAGGAGGGAGTGGAAGAAGTGGATGGAGGAATAAGAAAATCCGATTTATCCGACGCCATCAGGCATAAGGATCAGGAAAAGAAGAAGATTTTATTCCTCCAACTGAAAGCTTCGGTGACATCTACTACATTGACTTGGTTGGACTCCCACCTATATCTAATGGATACAAATACTGCCTAACATGAGGATAGACTTTTAGGTTGGTTCATAATAATTCCAGTGGATAAACACTCTTTTCTCTAGCGAATTTCGATGCGAGAATAGAAGAACAGAATTATGGTGAATAATTCCGGCCAGGAGATGACAAAATAGAAAAGATAATTGGAAAAGATAATGGAAAAGATAATTGATCAATACCTTAGGAATGGAGTGCGAATTTTGAAAGTTATTGATGAAAATTGCAACATCGAACATTTTATCAAAACTTCAAACATTGTTTTCTCAAAAACTAAAAGTTATTTTTGAAAACAGGTTGGTTCATTGGAAAGNGCAAACCCAGACACTCGCAAAGTTAAGGGAGTATGGAGAGATCTAACCGGGACGTAGAAGATATGTTATTTCCGTGGATGGAAGACAATAAGACTAAGCATTGGAGCGAAGGTTTTCGTTTTTGTCAGCTTCAGAAAAATAATGCAGAATACGACAAACACCTTTTGAAGTGAGGTTGGGTAAGTAATAACAGTTTCTCTTTCATTAAAGGAAGAAACGCCCATATCGGAATACAGTCATTGCCTGATTCTATCAAAAAAGTTCTTAGAACTGAAGAAGATCCTGAAGAGGCACTTGTAATTACTGTGGAGCGGAAGAATTCCCCTCGTGGTCCTAATGCAGATAGTCTTGGAGGATCAACTCCGTTTCTTGATGCAGAAAATATTAAAGGGTCAACTCCGTTTCCTGATGCAGAAAATATTAAAGGAACAACTCCTGCCCTTGATATTGCTACGGTAAAATTGGAACCTGTTTGTTGCATATGTAGCTGGATTGGCAATGGAGCAACTCTAGCAATGGAGGTTCTGCTTGGTCTATCTCCTCTGCATTTGCATATAGAGAAATTGGCTAGAACAACCATTTACAGATTTAAGCAATATGCTCAAAACAGTTCCGACCTGTCCTACTAATGGGCTATGGAAGACATTATAAGCACTGATACTGTGCTATGAATGTAGTCAGATTTGGCGGGATCACTATCAGTGATTAATGATTAATACCAGATTGTACCGCCTGAGCGGCAGTCCTGAAACTGAAAATTCTCTGGTTCAGACAGATATAGGCATGTTCACAGATGGATCAAAAACGCCAGAAGGGGTCGGAGCAGGAGTATACTGCCAGACACCTCGAATTAAGCAAGCTTACAGCCTGGGTGTGTTCTGTACTGTATTCTAGACGGAAGTATTTGCTATTGACATGGGTGCTAAAATCCACCCAGGCGCTGTAAACCGTGAAAACGGTGTCGGATCTGGTTAATGATTGCAAGAGAACATTAAACACACTGAGTTGTGATAACAGAGTTTCTCTGATCTGGGTCCCGGGTCACTCTGGGGTTGCTAGCAATGAAGCGGCAGATGAGCTAGCACGAAAGGGCAACGCTAAAGCGTTTGTGCAGCCGGAACCAGCAGTTGCTGTATCATTTGCGATGGCCAAATATAGGATTGTACTTTGGGTTGAAGAGAGACTTCGCCTACTGCGGACCAATTCTCCTGGAATGAAACATGCTACGGTGTTTATTAACATCGCCACTGTCAAACTCGGGAATATTTTAGGACTTGCTCGTAGCAGCATAAAAGTTGGGTGTCTTTACTGGGCACTGCCGATTAAAAGTCGATTTTTGGGTCACAGTTTATCTCCTCAAAGGATCTGAATGATCTTTCACCGAGCAAGGTATTAATGTTATACAATAGGGTACAATAGATCCTTAGGGTCGCGGTGGTTGGTTCGCCTACCCCGCAGGATATTCATGTCATCTGTGCCCAGAGTACAAGTAATACCAACGAGTGTTACGGAGCATCAAATCAAGAGAAAGCTGTCGAAGGATTGAAAGAGCAGACAGAGAAAATGAAGTTTATATCTAATAAGAATTTCCCCCGATTGAGGTTGGAACATCAGTTATTGTGCCTGTTCCAAGCCTTGACAGGAGCAAAGGAGATGCGCAAAACTTAATTGGCGTAGTTTTGGAGACAACGATTGATGGACTTTATAAAATTGGAACCAAGAAAGGAATTATTGCCTCGTTGTAGTCGAGGATTCAAATTCAAGCGTGTAAAGATACACTTTTGAAAACGCTCTGCGTCAGATTAGTAGCCAAAACTATGCCTTCGGGGGCCAAGGGTTTTTGAAGTTGTACACATACACAACTTGTTGATCACGCTGATAGCAGTAAATGTGCGCACAAATTTGCCTAACTCACTTAGGCAAAGTCCGAAGTTAATTTACACTTTTCGGAAGTTTGCCTAATTGCATATTAGGCAAACCCCGAAATTAATAGTTATTTCGGACTTGGTCAAAAATGCTCGGGCCATGTGCGAATTGCCTAGTCAATCTTAGGTGAGCCGGCGTAACGGATATTGGCAGTAACATTTACATAAATTTTACAGTATAGGAGAATATGGAGATCAGGGAGAGGCAGTGGTGAATAGAAATGGGCAAGAAATGCTGGAACTTTGTCAAATAAACGACGTATTGATTGTAAACACTATGTGGAGGCAGAGGGGACAAGATAAATATACGTTTGTGGCGGAAGAAAGGAATACTAAGAGTATTATTGATTACATCACATACACCCAGAATCTGCAAAATAGAGTCGAGGGTGTCAAGACTGAAGCAGAAGCAGAAATGGGAAATAACCACAGACTAGTCATGGCAACTATTAATAATATAGAATCGAAAGAGAAAAGATGAAAACCTACACAAAAATAAACATCCATAAACTAAGGCAGGAGGAAGAAAGACTAAAATACCAAGAAAAAACAAACCACAGAGAATTTAACACTGGCAAAAAAAGGTGAAGAATTTTTAAAGAGATAATGCGAAACAAACCTAAACCTAGGAAGAAGTGGGAGGAAAGAAGCAGAAGTTGGGAAGAAGAGAGGGAAGACTCTAGCAGATATAAAGGAAAAATCCGAATACTGCCTAACATGAGGATAGACTTTTAGGAGACTTTCTGGCGAATTTCGATGCAAGAATAGAAGAACAGAATTATGGTCAATAATTCCGGCCAGGAGATGACAAAATGGAAAAGATAATTGATCAATACCTTAGGAATGGAGTGCGAATTTTGAAAATTATTGATGAAAATTGCAACATCGAACATTTTATCAAAACTTCAAATATTGTTTTCTCAAAAACTAAAAGCTATTTTTCAAAACGGGTTGGTTCATTGGAAAGAAGACACTTTTATTAACACTTTGGGAAATTTTCATACTCATATTCTAAGAACTGGATTTTATACGAATTTTTAAAAGTTAATCGGCGAAAATTCGAAAACATTGTCAAAAATATATTTCTCAAGAACTAAAAGCGATTTTTCAAAACGGCTTTTTGCATTAAAAAGGGAATATTTTAATTAATAATCGAATGTGATAACAGCGACAGTTCTGTTAGTAATGAATGTGATGATGAATTAGAAGTGTAGAGAAGAAAACTAGGCGAAACTGCAACAAGAGATTTTATGGGGTTGATATAAATAAAGTTGTATTCAATGAAAAAGGTCTTGTTGGGGTTGAACTTGATTATTATCTGCAGTGTCCAACATCTAGAAGAGATACTAATTCCTGTGAATGATTTCTAATTCCAGGTCTACTGTTAGTTCTAGTGTTAGTCTAGTTTTATTTGTTATTCAGCGCCAGATTGTTGTATATTTTTATTGAATAATAACGGATATTGCGATAACAAAAAGACAGGAAGACCTAGGATGAAAGAATAGCAGAAGTTACAATTGGAACTCACATTGCTTTTAGTTCTTGCACCTAGCAATACTCTACAGGTAATTTAAGCATGAATCTTTATTCATCTTATTGTTATTCGTCTGATTTTGCTATGTTAATATAAATTTCTTATTCACATTTAAAAATTTCATCAAATCTGAAATAAAAATGTTAATTTAGACGATAAAAATGATTGAAAACTTACCAAGAAATCATAACAAAAAATTGAGGTTATTTTGTAAGAAAAATTACAGATATCTGTAAAACCAAGTTTAAAAGTAATGTATAACAAGTATAGATGTCGTTAGATGATGTGATTGAAGTTCTTTGTTCGTAAAGGTCGTCGTGTCGGTATTGACGTTACCGGCTGCGAGGTGATTAGTTACCGGATCGGCCGAGTGGGTCAATGTCTGCGCTCGTGAAAATTAATGGTGGTGAGGTGAAACCCGTGGCGTGTCGAAAATGGTTTAACGCGAGTTGTGCCGTTCCGGGAACGCAGTGCGGGCCGTTCGATTAAGTGTCAGGTGGAGTCCGGTGCGCCCCCCGGACCGTTTTATGCGGCCATCCCGAACTCTCGACGAGCACCAAGAAACTTTTGTAAAGAGGCCACACACAAGCGAATACGATCGACGCTCTCATACCTTTGACGGGAGTAAAAGGAAGATCTCGTCGAGCAATGTAACAGGAATAGAAATAATAAGTGCGAGGACTATCGTTTTTTATTATCATTCTTTTATTCCGTTTCTATACTGAAAAAAGAATAGATTCGTGTCGTGCGTTGTAGCAGATTTATTATAAATAGACGATGAGTGGCGGACGCCCGAGGACGACGTCCTTCGCCGAGGGCAACAAACAGGCTCTTAATCCTCCCCTGGGAGGTGTGAAAATTAGCAGTAAGTTTCGACGATCATACCGTGCCGAGTAGGCTATGGCTTCAATTCAAACATGGCTGCTCAGATCGCACTTGGATCCAACCGGAGAGAATAGTATATAAAAGTCGATCGAGCGCCACTCAGTAGCCATTTATTACAACTAACGCAAACTCTGAATGATCCTCGTTCAAAAGACTCTCTCAAATCGTACAAAAAAAACTCTACTCTCTCTTCTCTACTTTAGATCGTAACTGTGTGAAATCCGATGACCGTAATCGATCGTGTTGGGGCCCCCACCAGTAAAACTACCTAGTTGACCACGTTCAGATTTTAAACGATACTGACCGACTTGAAAATGTCGGACACTTGTTCCCTAACACAATCACCCTTCTGTCAAAATCGAAAATGCACCTGCCCCATTTCAATTACATAGATTAACCCTTTGTCAAATTCAGTTTTGAATTGAAACTAAATTTCTAATCGAATCCAACTCAAATGTCAAGAAGATCCAAGTTTAACGCCTACCCAATTGTAGTAATTCACCAAGAGGAACCGCCTTTCTTTTACTAGGTCATAAAGTTTCTCAATCTTATTTTAATACATTTACGATTATTATTTCGTATTTTATTGTGATCATTGTATGTAAATTAAGCTTTATTTTAATTTATCTGTCAAAATATCTTGTTGACAGGAACTGTCAAAATGACGTTTATACAGAACCATAAAAATTTGTTATTACAAAATAAATTTCGGTTACACTAATTGTATAAATGCATAAAAAGCATCAATAATAAAAGAAAAAACGTTTTTAAACAGTCATAGTCGATATCTTTACATTTTGAAGCAATATTTTTGGCTATTACTTAAATTTTATGTGAAAGTGAAGTTAGCCACAGAACACGATGGTGTTGAGCGATTACTTTAATCAAAATCGTACTTCATAATGAGCAGTTTTAATTCTTCCGGTTATGAATCCAAATGATTCTGTAAGGTATTTGTAAAGATTAATGTCTAAATATCCCGCTGAAGGAGTCAGAACAACTAATTTATTACAATCCAAGTTTCCTCACCCCATCTAGCGGTAACCACACATATTAAATCTTATTTTTATTTCTCCCTAAAATTAATAAATTTTAAATACATATAAAAATAAATTATAAAATTTGTTTTTGAACATGCAAACGATTTGTTTAAAGCGATTTTAAGTTTTTTCCTCCCCAAATAACTCAGCGAAATTTCACATAACCTAACTTTTTTATCTGTCATCTAATTTCTAAAGGTTAAAAAACATTTATCAGGAAGTAAGATTAATCAAAATGTTATCAGAAATGTTTAAAACAGATAATAAACTACTCTTACAACTGGTGTTTCAATGAAAAACATTTTGAAATATCGATTACAAAATAATCGAATGCGTACCAAAGTTTAATGTAATCCGATTCTCTTTGTCTTTGCTTTTCTCTTCGAAATTAAACATATCATATATCGTTAAATCGGCTTAAGTCTTTAGTGCGTCTTTAGACTAAAGTGAAAGTAGCAGTGTGATTCATTCGATTATGTAATAACAAGTTTTCTTTGTTGGTTTTTAACATAAATAGCGTTGTCTTTTTCTAAAGCGTAAAGTTATTATGAATGAATTCGATTAAAATTTGTTAAACGTTTATAATTTGAAACTTTTTGATGTAAAAAAGTTTAACTTTTAGGTTGTTTCATTTATGTCTTAACTTTAGAGCTTTGCCGGGTAAAGTTTTCGTCGAGGGAGGGATTGGTAATGAATTATTACCGACTCTGGAAAGGGATTTAAATCGATTTTCGTACTTTCTTCATGTTATTAATTAACTAATATAAAAAAATATCAGTTTTATCTTTAATTCAACTAATTGGAGAAATTTAAACGATTTTAATCGTTCTTAGATATATTTTAAAATTGTTTTGATAACAATATAACAACTTTTTCTGCTACCTTCAAGTAGGGATCCCTGTTTGTTAAGCCTTATATAAAATCAACAAATAACATTCGGATTTAGCCGCACGCCTCTCAAGACGACTAAATCTGAAATTCGATTCTAGTTGTAGGTCTTGTATTCGTTCTAGTGATAGTGCTAGTGCAAAACTAGAACTAACACTAGACCTAGAACTAGAAACATTCGGGTTTAGCCGCACGTCTCATAAGACGGCTAAACCCGAATGATTCTAGTTCTAGGTCTAACGTTAGTTCCAATGCTAGTGTCAATTCTAGAGTCAGTTGTTATTCACTGTTAGGTTGTGTATTTTTATTAAACTAAAACTGGAACTAACACTAGATCTAGAACTAGAAACATTCGAGTTTAGCCGAGTGTCTTTAAAGACGGCTAAACCTGAACGTTTCTAGGTCTAGTGTTAGTTTTAAAACTAAAACTAGAACTAACACTAGACCTAGAACTAGAATCACTCGGGTTTAGCCGTCTTATGAGACGTGCGGCTAAACCCGAATGATTCTAGTTCTAGGTCTAATGTTAGTTCCAATGCTATTATTAATTCTAGAGTCAGTTGTTATTCACTGTTAGGTTGTGTATTTTTATTAAACTAAAACTGGAACTAACACTAGATCTAGAACTAGAAACATTCGGGTTTAGCCGCACGTCTGTCAAGACGGCTAAACCCGAATGATTCTAGTTGTAGGTCTTGTGTTAGTGCTAGTGCAATACTAGAACTAACAATAGACCGAGAACTAGAAACATTCGTCTTTAGCCGCACGTCTCTCAAGACGGCTAAACTCGAATGATTCTAGTTTTAGGTTTTGTGTTAGTTCTAGTGATAGTGCTAGTGCAAAACTAGAACTAGCACTAGATCTAGAACTAGAAACATTCGGGTTTAGCCGCACGTCTCTCAAGACGGCTAAACCCGAATGATTCTAGTTCTAGACCTTGAACTACAAAGTTTCGGGTTTAGCCATGTGTCTAAAGACTTTATCTTGAACCATCATCTAGCAAAGCTACAACCTATATCTTCACTTAATAGAAACTTTGAAAATTCTGATGGTTGTTGTGGATCCATCTACCTTCCAATACATCTAATATACCAACTGTACCGTGAAACAAGATAAATAAGGAGTAAATTCCGACTTAAAAACCTCATCATACCTAATCTCTAACCAGCAGATTTAAAAGTAATGGAATAAAAAAGAAAGTATTTCACGATTATATGTTATCTTGCGTTTAGGAATTTTTTACAAAGAAACCAACAATCAAGAAATTTGGAGGAAACTCACGTTACGATAAAAATGAATTCTCAATAAGCAATCACGTTGGTGAACTTTGCTCAAGGAATTCAGATACACCCTCTATATAACTACCTTAATGTATTTGATTACCTACTCAGCACTAGAGGACATTGATTACCTCAAATCGATTCTAAAAATTGTCATATTTAGAAATGATAAAACCATAAATTTGTAATAAATTTATTTAACTCGAAAACATCACGTTTATTTTACCACGTTTAAGATTTCATGGTAATTGCAACTGTTAAAAGATACATAGTTTATTTAACCCGCTATAAATCGATGAATCATCAAAAATTAAAATCTTGAACGAATAATATTTTGATTAAATCTTGTCTTGTATTGATTACTTCTTTAGCTTTTAGTTCTTTATGGATAATTTTCATTTGGGATATCCGCAAAAAAAACTTGACTGGGCAACAGAACGCCACATTTAGCACCCCACAGCGCAAGCTATTTTCGGCTCGTGTAAATTCCAACGTCGAAGCCCTCGCTTTCATTTGCCTCTACGGTTAAATCGATATGCTTCGACACAACGACAAGAGGACCCCCTCTGCTATGTGTGTATGTTTTAGGGTTTTGAGTCAATTACGATTTACCAACTCAATTATGATTTTGTTGAATGTTATTGCCCACAACATTTTATTGAGTCATTTCAAATTTTTCTATGTTTAATTTTGGTTTTGTACAGCATGAAAATAGAGAAAGGTGTTTCCGTGACATCTGCGTGCCGACGACGAAACGAAATAATACTTCATCGTTTTTATAACCAACCCACGTTGGCAACCGTTTGAAGTTCACGAAATATAGATCGTTGACGTCATCGACCACGACGCTGTTTACGAAGGTTTTGCGTCGAGACGTGACGTTACCGTTTTTTGGGAACAACAGACGATCCTCCTTCTGGACACACAATAAAAATTCATATTTATCTTCACGGTCAATGATCCAATAATTTCTTTTCTTTTCAAATACTACGTAGTAAAAAAACGTACTACTTTATTTAATAATTTAAAAAAATATGAATCTAATTTGAAGCACAAATAATAGACATAGTAGACGGCATTTTGTCCCACATAAAATGCAACATGTCTAAATGTATCTAGTTCTAGGGTTTAATGTTAGTTCTAGTGACAGGTAGCGCTGATTAACATAAGATATCACTATGTTGCATATTTTTGTTGAACTAACACTAGATTTAGAACTAGAATGCTTCGGGTTTAGCCGTTCGTCTTCAGATGCACGGCTAAACATTCCAAGGAAACTGCTGAAGATCTTAAAACTTCTGATATCTCATATTGTATTTTGATTAGGTACTAGGTCAGATACCACAAAGATGTCAATAACTCAAGACGCCACTTTGTTCACGTTGACTAAAATGATCTGCAAGTTGCTCTTCTCTAAATTACTTTTTGTTCTTCATTTGATTCAAGACAACTTAACATTCTGAAAGAAATCCCACCTAAGATACGTATTATGCCCAGAGATGGGCGCTGGGTTGGGTTGGCAAATACCCGGCGGGTATTTATACCAGTGAAAATATGTCAGATTCAAAAAAAGAAATGTAGAGGAAGATTATGGAATGGACGTTGAAGACGTGGAATTATCAACAATCAAACAAATCATCAGACGAATCTGTCGTAATTTAGATTAGATCAAGTTATTATGATTATTATCATCAAGCAGCCCTCTGCGTCCCTTATTGGACATAGACCTCCCCTATTCTGTTCCATTCGATTCTATTCTGTGCTGTATGAAT